AGGGCTGCAACAACAGCGGCGGATTTCGCGATTTTCGCGGATTTGTCACGGATTTGAACTTTCAGTCGCGAAAATCGCGGAAACATTAAATGATGTCGCGAAAATCGCGAAGGGACTTATGGGCTGTCACAAAAATTGTGGAATTTATTGTAGCCTTTCCGTCCCGCTTTTTTTTGCTGTCATCAATTTTGTTGTTCATTTGGCTCTCAACTTTTTACCGGTTCAAACCAAACACCCTGCAAATAATCGAGAAATAATCTCAATTCCATAAGTCACACCGTATTGACACGGAAATTCCCTGGGGTCTGTCCAACGTGAGACATTTTCATGTTTTTTTTATTTACAATATGAACATAAGACTGATGCAAAATTTGACTTTTACGCTCCACAGTGCTTAAATGGTTTCAAATCGGGTCGTGATTAGCCTCCAAAAGTTACAACTCATTTGGTTAGAAACAGACTTCGCACAAACCATTTGAAGTTTACATGTAAATTACTATGGGAAATCTCAACTTTTTGTTCATTACCTTCTAGTCTTTTTCGATATTGAGCAGCAAAACAGCTCGATAGCTATTCTTATAGAAAATTTTCTCAGCTACAACTTTGCTAAAGATCGTTTCTATGTAAAACAAGACAGGAAATAGTTATTAATTATTCAAGAGATTGGTAAACTTTTGACATGATCAAGCAGCTGCTCTGTAGGCAACACTGTATTTTGGAGTGTGACATAGTAGCCATGATTTGTGTGTCCTATTCAACGCCCCAGAAACACCAATGTTGCCTGCTGAGCAGTTGATTGAGCATGATCATAAGACATCAGTGCATTGAACCATTAATAACTTTCGATCCTTGCATTTAATCAAAAAGTGGTCTTCAGCAAAGTTGTAGCTGGGAAAATTTTCTACAAGTAAAATTGAAAGCTTTTGAAGCAGACCGATATGGTGAATTATTAGATAGACATGAACAAAAATCTTGGTTTTACCATAGTAATTCCCATACAAACTTCAAATGGTTTGTGCCATCTCAGTTTCTCACCAAATGGGTTCAAATTTTGAGAGGTTAGTCAGGATCCGATTTGGAATCGTTTAAGTATTGTGGAGCGAAAATTTCAAATTTTGTTCATTGAACATAGCATTTTTCGTTCCCTCCTCTTGGCTAGTTTTTAACCTGGACGTTGGTGGGCGGGCCTAATCTTATGCTTCATAGTGGAGCGTTGGAGACGGTTGGTTTAGGTCCGGCATCGTTGGCTCATGGCGTGGCAGAATAGCGTCATGAGCATGCGATGAGGATTACTGAGCTTCCCCTCTCTGATGAACCATTGCACGAGAGAATCAAAGTTCTAGCCTGAAGTGATAGTATCACACTTGTTACTCATTTGTTTGAGAGCCGCGTTGTAGTACGCTTACGTATAGGCACTGACGTTGGGTGCGATACTGGCGGCTTTTTCCGCAAATCACTGCTATTTTATTTATTTTTACACAGATAGATTTATTTGGGTTTGGACGGGAATTATACTATTGAAACATTTCAGAAAACGCCCATCAGTGCTCCTTCTATTTGTGTGACAAGCTTTCATTGTTGTTTTCATTGAAGTAGGTATTACTCAGGAAACAATGTTAAACACCATTTTTGTACATGGTATTGTAACTAATCTTATACGTGCTTCATTTTGATTTGGGATACATGTTTGAACTATGGCTCAGGATTTCCACTGTGGCGTACTTCTATTGTGACATATCCATACTTAATTTTGTGGGACGACATAGTGGAAACGTGTGAGCGTATATGGAACATATACCCTATATAATTTAAAAATCAGTTAGGAAACTATCTTCAAAGTGAAGCATTTTACTTGAAGGTGTCACCTGGGATGAACTAATATATAATAAATATAGTTCAAAGGCAAACACAACTTGATACACGTTAAATTTTAGATTACACACACAAGTACATGTATTTAATAAAGCATGGGTTATAATTGATTAGGTAGATTAGAGATTTCAATTATTTATTATATTAGACTAATGAGATATCATAATCATCAAACGAACTTAAATAAGAAAATTTAGACAGCCTAATAACATTAAGTAGATTAACAAAAGAGTTAGGATGCGGGGGGTCCGCTTAGGGAGGCAACTAGCCTTTAAAGCAACTGGCAACGAGCCTTTTTATATATTGTCTGTTTATTTTGATGGTTGCTTTATGTTATCAATTTGGTATACATTTTGCAGCACAAATCTAGTACTATGTGTCATTTTCTCAAAACCCCCTATAACCAACAATCAATACGAAACTAACGATTTTAAATTGGCTCACCACTTTAGTAGCCTATTGGTCCCAAGCAAACGATTAACGTACCCTATTCTAGTTGAAATTCTCTTACTACACTATGTTTGTTTTGATTCGCTATGAAAGTTTGACAGATAACATCAGGGGTGTGTGGATTCATGCAGAACATGCAGGGGTGAGTGGGACCGTTGTTCTGGTACTGAGTGAGCCAAAAATAATAATGATTTTCTTCGGGACCTAGTGGTCTTAGAGTTACCTCTATGCTATAACCGACCTCTCGAAACCCTTCCCATGACGTTCAAGTGGTTTGCATAGACTATTCAGCCATTACCCTTCCTTTATCCTCGGCTTTGGATTGACTTGCGCTCCCATTGCCCCACCAAACGCTGCAAAATGAAAATGAAATATGAACATAGCATTTTTCGTTGCCAAATCATAAACGAATCGTATGTATGCGAGTAATTGCCATGCATACCGGATATTCTTGGTTCTCCAAATCGTCCTGGAGGTCAGTTGGTTTTTTCTACTATATCAACCAAGACTGCAATAATGGCAGTAGTATCGAAATATGTCCAAACAGATTCAAAGTGTCTATGTGGATTGTGCCCGACCTTTTGCTACGTATACAAGATGTTATAGGTACTAAAATCATTATGAAGATCAGATTTTTTTTCTACTAGCAAACCCAAGACTAATGCAATATCCGTAGTATCGAAATATGTCCAAACAAATTTGCAGTGCCTATGTGAATCATGCCAACCTATTTCCGTGAATGTTCTAGGACTCCCAACTCGATATTTCGATACTACTGATATTATCCCAATTTTTGTTTATCTAGTAAAACAAATCATCTGAACTGTAGGACGATTTGAAAATCCTAGATCATCTGGTATACCTGGAAATAAATCATACATTATCCATATAGACACTGTGCATCTGTCTGGAAACATTTCGATACTAAAGACATTGTCCCAATCTCGGCTGATCTAGTAGAACAAATTATCTGAACTCCAGGACGATTTGAAGAACCTTGAACATCTCGGTTACGATTACTCGGAAATAGATCATGCATGATCCACATAGACACTTTGAATCTGATTGGACATTTTTCGATACTACAGACATTATTGCAGTCTTGGTTGATCTAGTAGCCCAAGTATCATTGCAGGTTTTATCGAGGTTTTATAGCATTCTACAAGTCTAAATCATGATCTACGGAACCCTCATAAAACCAAAATTGTTACTTGGGAGAACAAATCAACTGATGTCTTTGACGGTTTGGAAAACCTATAATTTCCCGTAGGAGTAGGCGGGGCCAGGCATGGAAAATCATTTGCATTCATTTTGGGCATTCATTTATATTCATTTGCCCCTAACTTTTTTCATCAACAGAATTCCGCAAAATGATGTATTAAGATTTTGTAGGTTTTGTTATTAGCTACAACTTTTGTTATCAACTCAAATCCGTATCTCTTATGTATGACGAACCAGAGCGAACACAAGTCACTACTGTTTTTCAGTGAATGTATGTAGTGAATACATTTCTATTTATTCAAAATAGAAAATAAAATAAATTATTTCAATACCGCCACTGCAATTAATTTCATGAGAATTATTGTATAAAACGTATTTAAACATTGAAAAATGTCGTAAAATGTGTAAGTTTGGCATATCTTGTCTGCGCAATATAAAAATTTGATGATTCTAAATAAGGTTTTAAGATCTCAGAATACCGCGTCGTAGGTATTTATTTAGCATAAACATGTTTTCTAAACATATGCAGACTGTTTGCATCATATTACACATAAAATGTATTCAATTTGATATCAAAACTACCATTTGAAATTTTTTACATAGGGTGGGGCATAGTGAGCAACTATCGGATGGGTAGAGTGAGCAGAGAAAAAAAAGTAACCTCACCAATTTTGCAGTGTTTTGTTTTTGTTTTGATGCGTATCGCAAGTGTCGGTAATATGATCCGCAATTACAAGAAGAGTTCAGTTCTGCCAAAAGTGGTCAAAGGACAACATGGAACGGGCAGTGGAAGCAGTAAACCGTAGGGAATCCGTCAATCAAACGGCTCGTGAGTATTGTGTTCCACGTGCAACTCTAAGACGATACGTTATTTCGGTGACTCCAGAAAAAAAGCATATCGGATCATTTGCTACTGTTTTTTCGAACGCAGAGGAAAGCGAATTGGTGTCGCATATCCTAAAGTTGGAAGTGTCCTGTTACGGAATAACTGTTCGAGACATCCGCAGCTTGGCTTTTCAGGTGGCGGTTCGGATTAAAATACAGCACCTGTTAAACGTCGAGAGTCAACTGGCTGGCAAAGACTGGCTCAGGGGTTTGCGGAGCTTGGCAAGAATTTTTGTCATAGAATATGTAAAAAAGGAGGGACTCCGGATATTAATCCAACTGTATATATATATATAGATATACATGTTTTGACCGCACTGCCTTCTGTTAACTATTAACGAATCTAAGTGTAAGCGTAATTCCCGATAGATGTCACCATTCAGAACAGCAGCGACATCTGAAGGGAAGTTAACGCAGAGGCATGGTAACATGATTAATTATTCTCCAAAGCCAACCGACTGCGACTCGAAATCATTTCCGCAACCAAATGATTCGCAAATCTGTCCTGTGTTTAATCACAACCGAATGTACCTAATTCCCTCTTGTTTTCTTTTTTTCTCCATGTTTTTCAGATTCAGCCGGCCGGGGAACGCTTATGTTCGGTGATAAATGCGAAAGCACCACTGACTGTGGCTTTGCCGGGTCCGTCTGCGATCCCGGCACGCGCACATGCCAGTGTACTTCCGATTTGTCAGCAACGAACCACCTCGACAAGTGCGGCAAAAGTAAGTACCACCCACCCGTTGGAGAGCTGATCGTCGTCGTGGGTCGCTGCTTTGCTGTCTGGTTCCATTTTTGAGGTTATGTTGGGTGCTACTTTGTGCAGAGTGAAGCCCGATAGCGCAACGACGACGACCGGCAGGATTTTAGGACTCTAGATGAGGGACTAGCTTTTTGTACGACATACTTATTTTTTGCATTCCGTGGTAGAGGGTTGATGGCAAACGAGAAGCTTTGATGCCGTGTCATTACAAACGATGATGGTGGTGATATGCACATTGCCGACTAGGTAGGCGTCGCGAGTATGCTCCTCGGTAAATGACCGATGTATCTATTTAATCCCACTTGCTGCGGTTTGCTTTCACCCCTTCCGAAGAGGAGCATGGACCGCAAGAACAACGTGCGGCTTTATTGTGCCCCGGAAAAACCTTTGCCAAGTTGAAAAGTTGCTCTCTTGTGGCTTTTCACCGGGAACAAAAAGGCTCATGACATCATCCGCACAAACACTCACACATTGCTGATTTAGTAGCGAACCGCTCTTTTTCTTGCTTGAAAAATTTAAATCTGTTTAAGTAATCCTTCAGAACCGACGGACTTCAACGAAGCGTTGCAGAACAATTTTCTGTCGTCGTGGTTCTCCGGCCGTATGTAAAAATAATAAATAATGAACCTAAAGCCCCCCGTCCTGCTGCGGGTTAAGGACCGGTACAGAGGATGATTAAAAACGTACTCCAGGCATGTGGTTCCCTTGCAGGTACTGAGAAGTGAATATTTTTTTTTGCGTTCTATGAGAGTGTCGCTGGTACGTACCATGTGGGTATGTTGTATAATTAATAGACATTAATTACGAGCCGGGAACATTATGTATATTATAGCAGGTTCATCTCCGTCCCGGTTCTTTTTGTTTTCTAGAAATTTTCCGCCCAGAAAGTTGTTTTCATAACTGACTCTGAAGTGTTCTGAGTTTTCAGAATTCTAGTCCGTTGTATTGCAAGACTGAAATGGTTTCTAGTTAACCGGTCCGGAGTTCCGAAACGTCCGGTTTTCCCGAAAACTGGTTCCGGTGAAATAATCCAAAGTTCCAAAACAATTGCATTGCTATTAATTACAGTTGATAACAAGCTACCAGCCGCGGTAAATCACTTTGGAGTTCCACAGGTTGTGACAATTCCGGTGCTATGAACAATGTTTTCTTTCCAAATCCGTAAAAGTTATTTTAAATTGAAACACCTGTGCCTTCGTTGGGGAAGTCGGAACGAAACGCTTTTTTTATAAATAAGTATCACAAGCATTCAAGAGTTAATGAACAATCAACAAAGCATCCTATTACACTAGCAACCCCGCAATCAGATGCTATCATAATTTTCAGCAATGCCAGGAATGCGCACGAACCCCCAACACTTGCCAGAAAACTTACTACTAACTCAAGGTATCTTCAATTCATAAAAAAAATCACTGGATAACTGTTCAAACCTGTGAAATGCAATGTCTTTTAAATTCTGTGAGTGTTACTGATTGTTTGATATGTCTAGGCATCAAATTGAAAACATTTATTCCTTTAAAATATAATGAATTTTGTGAAGCACAAGTCAAGAAATGTGGTGTTCTTATTTCAACCGCGTTTCTAGCATTATGCCTATTAAAGTCAATTCCTCGTTCAATTCGATCACACAAATATCGAGGCAGCAATCCGTTAACTACTGTAAAAATGAACACCACAGTCAAACATACAATTCGTTGCTTCACCGGCAACCATTGTAAGGTGTCTAGCATCAAAGTTGAGGAAGTGAATCTATTACATCTCAAAATCAAACGCATACGACTGAGCCTAGTAAATAAACGAACAAGTTAAAAAAATCAAAAAATCAAACGCATTATTTTATTCTGCAAGCGATGTAATATCGATATTTATGTTGCATTAGCCACAAATAAAATTGAAGGGCAAAAGTCTAGATGCGGAGAAATAATTTATTTGTATAGCTGTATTTTACTGGCAATAGTTAAATCGTTTAATCTCCCGAACGCGATCAATTGTCTCATCATCAATTACAACAGAGACGTTCTCATTTACTCGATTCCATGAAATTACCATAAATTTAGGTTTACTTGTATTCAATTTTAACTGCTTATACTTCAACCATCTACTAAGAAAACGCACATCTTCATTCAAGTGTAAAACGGCATCATCTAAATCCTTAGCTGCAATAAATAATCTACAAAAAGATTAATGTCGCAAAATCGCAAAGCACGTCGCAAGTCATTAATATACATAATAAATAACAGGGGCCCTAATACACTTCCCTGGGGCACTCCAAAGTTATTCCCCACGGGAATGGAAACAGAATCATTAAAAACAGTCTGTTGAGTTCTGTCAGATAAATAGCTTTCAAACCATTTATATGCAATACTCGTAATTCCAAAGCGCTTGGTCGTACTTAACAGTAAGGGCCTAGAAATTGTTTCAAAAGCGCGTTTCAGATCCAAAAAACAGCAACAATCGTATCTTTACACTCCAAGTTATTTTTCCACTTCGCTAATATAAAATTCAACGCGGTTTCACAAGAATGACCTTCTCGATATCCTGATTGTTCTGGTATCAACATACTATTACTATTTAAATACTCCAACAGCTGGCCTTTAACAACAAGTTCTAAAATTTTCTCTAATGTGTGCAACATGTTGATAGGACGAAACTCTTCGGCATTAATCGTTCCAGCAACTTTTTGAATAGGGACAACTAAGGATTCCATCCAAATTTGTGGTACAAGTCCAGTTTGCAATGATTGATTAATAAGGTCCAGCAAGATGTAGCCAACAGGGCTGGTAGCGAGTCACTTTTCAAGCCAGTGACTAGAAAGTCTCCTTTTTTAAGGCCAAGTCACTAAAGTCACTTTTTCTTGTAATCTGCCACTATTTTAAACATTTACGTGAATTTTTTTTTCTAATTGTTGAACAATTCGAAGTTGACGACCAGGTATAGAGTTTTTTGACGTTTAATCGTCTTTCTCTATCTACAAGGTGTCCACTTATTTGGCTAAAAAAAGTTCCCTGAGTTTTCCAGGTTTTTCATATCTTTGACGGCTATTTTGTAGGTTTATAATAATAAAGCTATTTATGAAATGTGTTAAAATATGCCTTTTTTGTAAAACAACAACAACAATTAACGCAAACGTTTATAAAACATGACAATCAGTTTTAAAGGAACCGCTTTACTTCATTTTAGTAAGTCTATGATCATAACATTTTTAGTAATAATGTTTATCGAAAATGATAACTCGGCTCTGTAAAGTTTATTCGATTGAGCCTGTACAAATAAAGTAATTATTAAAAAAAAAAACAACATTTTTAATGTTTCGAAGTTTCGTACTAGCAAAATTGTGGAAACTTTTAAGAAGTTCTATTTATCTCAGAAAAGCTAGATCTAGAGATCTTTGAGGAGAGCTCTTAAGGGACTCCGGGACTCTTAAGGAATCCGAGACTTTAGCCCAGAATAATGGATTGGTTTAAAACCCTATAAGCGTGAGTTTAGACAAATTCAGGATAGTTCCATGACGTGCTGAAATAAAATCGAGGACCCTAAAGATTGGGGCCTCCCTTAGCTCAGTCGGTAAAGGCGCAGCTACAAAGCAAGACCATGCTGGAGGTGGCTGGGTTCGATTCCCGGTTCGGTCTAGGAATTTTTCGGGTTGGAAAATTTCTCGACTTCCCTGGGCATAGACGTATGATTGGACTTGCCACACAATCATATCAATGCAAAAATGGTACAGGCATCGAAAGCTCTCAATTAATAACTGTGGAAGTGCATCTAGAACACTAAGTTGAGAGCACGCAATAAGCTAATATGCGATATGCAATAAGCTTGAAATGCGAAGAAGAAGAAGAAGACCCTAAAGATGTTCCGAGAACTTCAGTACAGAAACCTTCAGAAAATTTATGAAAATTTCAGAAATATTTCAGGATCTTCACAGAAATCCAGAGAGTTCCAGGGAAGTTTAAATGTGCTCACAAGAATTCCATTTATTTTAAAGCAGAACCGTGATCTTCATTAGAATTGAGAGCTTTAGGGAAACTTCGAGAACATCAAGACAGATCAGTGAATTAAAGGGCAGTTCAAAAAAAAATCAAGAAAATCGCAGAAACCTTAAAGAAGTTTAAGAAACTCAGGGAATTTCCGGAAACTGCGGTTTACTCAGAGAAAATTTCTGGAATGCAATAAAAATTATATGACCATTAAAAAAAATAAATCTGAGAGTATATAGAAATTTCAAAACTTAAAAAAATTTCAAAAATTTAGCTATGTTGATTAGAGAACATCAACGAAGTTTCATTAATTTAAAAAAAATGCGAAATTTTTCAGCAAGCACCGATATTTTCAAAACATTCCGTTCTCTACAAAATTTAGATATTTTCGATTGTTTCATTAAATTCAGTGAAGTTCCGAGAAAACTTGAGAAGATTCGAGGAATTATACATATATATCAGAAAATTTACCGAAACATTTGATCAATTAAGAGAAATTAAGGTATAAGCATAGAAAACATCTCTAGACTATTGAAAAAATTATAAATCAGTTTTGATCATTTGAACTTCAGACAAATCTTGAGAACTTCAGTGAAAATCATAGAACTATATTAATTATTTCGTTGCGGAAGCATAAAGAAGTTCCTGAAATTTCAAAATTATTTCGAAAACTTCACAGAAGTACAGAGATCTTCAGACACACTTCGAAAAGTTCATAAAAGTCTATGGAATTTAAGGAAAAATACGAGAACTTGTTGCGAAACACGACCTCGGCTAGGAAGAGAAGGCCTTGGTCGGACCGGCCAACACAGCAAAACGCACCACAACTGTCAAATAAGTTCCACATGCAAGTTTTATTCTAACTCCAGTAATACATTTCTTGACTATGCAGTCCTGCGCTCCTATAGCTTATGCCCTACCGAGCTTCCTACAACTTTTCTTTATAATCTTCTTCATTTTCGTATTCGTACTCACGGTACTGCAT